AACTGAAAAAAGAGTTCTTCGTTTATCGAAGTGAAACTTCAACTTCGATTATAGCCATGAGAGGGCTTACCCAAGGAGAAGAAGAATGGAGTCCTTTCGTTTATCGAAAGGGGATTCCGAAATGAAAGTGGACCTCTTGTTCATGGAAAGAGTCAAGAGGGCCAGAAAGATATTTTTAGTGGACCCGCTGTCAATTGAAATTGATCAGTGAGGGATTTTGGTGGTGAAAAAGATTTTGGGTTATCCTCTAGAATATTAAGTATAATATTCTTCAGGGAACTTCCCGGTAAATGGGTTATCCTGAATGTATTAAGGATAGTACTTTTTGTCGTTGAGCTCCCAAGCGCTTTTCATCCAACCTCTCGAGTTCTTCGAGACGTTTTTGATGCTGTTCTTCTGTCGTCATCTCAGTTGCGAGAGCGATCCGAAGTGACGGGATTTGAATCTCGTCTCAAAAATAACTCATAAGAGTTAGAGAATTTGATAATAATAATAGGAAACATTCCGACATTCAATGTTTGAACGTGAATTTCTTATTCATCACTTCTACAGTGACTGAGTTATCCCTAAGAATACTACACGTAATATCCTTCCGGGAACTTCCCATTATCCACCCCCAGCTTTCCTTGCAAAACTGGGTTCGACATTATAATCAGTTACATGACCAGGTTATCCTTAAGAATATAAAAAAAACTCTCCAGGAACTTCCCGTCAATGGTAGGAAATAGTTTAGACTCATATACCTATTGGAGTATCAGGGAGCAGTTTAACCTCTTATACCGGTCGGAGGATTGAGAAATAGTTTATACTCGTATATTCTTTGGAGTCTTGCCGTTCTCAATTGGCTTACCTTAACGTTATAACGCCGGCTTCAACCAAGGTCTGAATGCTATTCTTGAGAGTAAAGCAATCTTTGGTGGGATGAAGGACCCTCCTGTGGTATGCACAGTACTTTAGATCCATCGTGTTGTCAGCTTCCTCCTGATTTGTGATAGGTGGTAGCTTGATATTGTTACTTTCAAGGAGGGATTCGAAGATGGCTGGAACGTCTTCGTCCTTGAAAGAGTACTCTTTTTGGAGTCTCGGACCCGAAGTCTTTTGCTGCCTTCGGGATTGCTGTTGTGACGCTTGATTAGCACCACCAGTAGCTGCAGGTGTTTTGCCCTTACCACGAGAGGCGAAGTTTGAGTTCAGCGGATTAGCCGTCGGTCGGTTCCTCTCGGCCTTCTTCCTTCGGAGGAAGCGTTCGGCTTGTTCACCACGCATCTTCAAGTCTTTCCAAGTGTCAGACGGTGCTGTTCCATTTGCTTCCAACACGTCCAACGCGAGGTTGTTATGGCAAGTCTGGAGAATGAATTCCTCGGTGATCGGGTCCCGGCAGTTCATCGCCTTGTTCCGGAACCTTTTGACGAAGGTGTCGACTAACTCCCCGTCTTTCTGCTTCTCATCGAGCAATGATCCGATAGATATCTCGGTATCGTCGTCGAAGAAATTGATGAGGGACATAGTCTCCATATCGTCCCAGCTGTTTACGCTACCTGGCTTGAGGCGGCGATACCAATCGAAGGCGGCTCCGCGAAGAGTGCCGACGAATGACCGCACCATCAGAGGCTCATTGCCGGAAATAATACCCAGGTGCGATTTGTGATTTGAAGTAAATCAAATGTTGAGTGGGCGAACCCATCCCATTAAACGGCGTGAAGTTAATTAGGTTAAACTTCGCCGGATATGGGATTGATTCCCACTCTCTTGGGTATGGACAAGGAATGTCTGTTTTCTTCATCTCTTGAGCGGAAATCAACGTGTTGATTTTGCTCTCGAGATTTTTAATTTTTAAGTTTTCACCTGTGTTTTCGCTAGCATTCTCGTTACCACCCCCTGCGTTGACGGGAGGGTTATTAGTACTACGAGCTTCATTCGTATCCTCGTCCTCCTGATGAACTTGGTTGCGACGACTTGGTTCGCCTTGCTGGTTCGTTAGTGCTTGGATTTGTTGGTCATGCATTTCTCTCATGTTTTGCATGGCCATCTGCATTTCGAACCTAAAGGTTTCCTGTTGTTTAGCTAAGGCGTCTTCAAGCATTTTTGCCACTTGCTCCGCACTTATCATAAGTGCCTCGCGGGGTTGTCCTTCGCTGGACACCGTATTATCTGATGCAACCGCGGAGCCAGCATCAGATTCTTCATCTTCTGAAGGGAGTCTTGTCTGAACCCTACCATAGATTGCTCGCTTGATGGTTCCGGACTGCAGACGGGTTCTAGGCCGGGATGCTTTCAGAATTGATTCGATATTGTCCCGCGCCGATGTTCCTCTGCTGGTCATGTTGGTGGTGACTCTCGGAAATTCTCCATCTTCAACCACCGTTCTTCTTCGTAGGAAACGCCTAGGCCTTGGTTTTGGCGTTTCGGTACTGAGCCTTTCGAAAACCGAAACTCGTCCAGGGACCGACTTGATGCAGCTGCATTCAGACAATACTGCTCGAATGAGTTTGGAACAGGGGCATTGAGTTTCCTGTTCTCGGGGGCTTCTCTTCCTGGTTTTACTCGTACTTCCAGCACGATAGTACAACTCGTCTGTTTGACGATCTGAGTAACCTATCGTGTGTTGGCACGACTTCTCAGGTATAACGCTATCGTCATCAGACGATAACGTTTCCTTCTGAGGGGGAATTGCTTTCTTAGGGCCTTCGAAAGTCACGCGCCTCGTAACATGCCTTTTTGGGCTTGAGTTCTCGGCGGGCTCCTGGACTGCAATGCGCAAGTTGGTGCGCGTAGCTGCCCTGGTCTCTTTGTCATGTTGAGGGTAACGGCGACCCTCAGCATGTTGCGTCGTTCGGGGCTTCTTTATCGGGCCCAAACGCTCTTGAACTGGAGCCTTGACTCGCTCATCAGGAAGTGGACCGAGACGCTCCAAAACTGGCTTCTTCTTTCGGGATGATTCTGCGTGATCTCCCGGAGTAGTTGCTGGAATTATCGGCGATATGGGTTGTTTCGCCGGGGGTTGAACTTTGGTTGGAGGCTG